ATATTAAAAACAATATAAGTTTAGAAGAGGGTAACCCGCAATTTTTAATATGCTTATGTCTTATCATGAGAAAGGAGTAATCAACTCTTAATTAAGACAAGACAAAGCTATGATATTGTAAGTGGACTCTTATCAATTTGTCAAGGACATGACTAAAAGATAATGCATAAACCAATGAAATCTGTGTGAAAGAAAGAGTAACAAAATAGAAATAAAAAAGTACATATATTAAAAATAAACTAAAATGGCTTATTGCCAAAAGAAAAGAAAACTTGATACTCTTGAAACTACACTAGAAACAAAAAAAAAATTGACAAGAGTAAAGAAGGCTTCACTCTTGTTTCTATATACACTATTTAACTAGGAACTATGTGGCAATATTCTATAGGACCTCCAATATGTGTTGACTTTGTAGGACACATGCCTTGACTTACAAGGTAAGTTTTTCTACATGTACGCCACATAGTTAGCTTAGTCTTTCAGCTAACAACATGTGTGGCACGTGGCCAACTTGTCGACAACTTTTCTAAACCAAAAAATCAATTATAGACACCTATAAAGTCAAAGCAATATCTATGAAGCTTCTAAGAAGCTCTTATAGAAGATATTATAGAATTGACTTATTTTTATCTACTTCTACTTACTTCTATTTATTTATATATATAATTACTGGCTAACATGTGTATGTCCATGATAATTGTTCACTTTTAGAATAGAAAGTAACATATATCTTCTTTTTAATATATCCAATGTCTTGTATGGCTCAACAAGATGGATATTTGTAGATTCAAATAGGTGTAATTTATATGCAAGTAGATTGATTTGGTTACAAATAAAAAATGGTTCAACTCTATATAATTTAATTTGTTACAAAAGTCAAAAGTTTTAATATTAGAAAAGAGTAATCATACCTTATTGCTCCATGTAACATTGATGTTGTTCTTTGCAATAGATATCTATGTTGATATTTTGTCAATCTTGAGTTTCATTCAATTGTGCCTTTATTGTTGCATGTAGTTTTGATAAATAATTTGTTAAATCTTTTGCTACAAGATTATCAACTTTTAAGAAGCCAAAAACATCAAGTCATGAATAATAACCATAACTAGCATAGAAAGGTGATTATTGAATAGAAGAATGTATTATATTATTAGAGGCCAACTTTTTAAATAGCAAAAAAAATGTCTAACTATGTTGATGGTAGTTGATGATATATTTCAAATAGTATTATAATACTTTCTTCACTTCTTTTATTTACCTATCACTTTGACAATAAAAGGCGAAAAATAATTTAACAACCATGTTTATTATTTTATAAAAAGTTGTTTAAAAATCTAGATATAAATTACATATCATTACTTTCTATTTTATCAAATTAAGTATTATCTTCTATTTAATATAATATCTCTTAATAATCTATAACAATAATAAATATTATTAAAAATATATATATTATTTTTATCTATAATTTTTTTATGTAATATAAAATAAGCTATTTTAATAAAATAATCTATTGCTATAAAAATAGACTTATAAGAACTTGAGATAAGAAGATCAATAAAAAAATCTATAGAAACAAATGACCATTGTTGTTTTAGTATAAGTATTGATTGAAAAAGTCCATAAGATCAATAATAAGGAAAATCTTGATCTTGAATAAATATTATGTGATTGTATAAACTTTTTAATTTTCTTTTACATTTGAAGCCTCTAAACATTTATTTGAAATCAATTCTAAAATCTTGGTGTACCTGAAATGTCTTGTAGGTGAAAAAATTATAAGAAGTTTAAAGATTACATAATTATGCTTCATCTTCTAAAACATATGAACTCAAATTTAGAATTATTATGAGATTTAGAAGAATTATTATTGATATCATGCACAAAAAGATTTGAAGACATATTTTATTGAATATAATTAAAAAATATTGAATAAATAATTTATATTGATTTTATTGCTTGAAGATGAAATTGCTTTACTTTCAAAAGAATTAATTGCTATTAATTAAAATTTGCAAGTGCTTCTTTTGATAGAAGATATGACATCTAAAAGGGACAAATAAAAAATCTTATTATTTTTATAATTGATAAATTAAATCAAATATAAATTTTGACACTATCATGCTTCAATAAGCTTGGCAATAATTCAAAATATGTATTGATATTATTCACTAATGGTTCTTTTGATTCATATAAACAATCAATAGACAAGAAGCGCCTTCTAGATAGTAACACAATTTATGAAATAAATCTACAACTACAAGAAGTTCTTTGATATAAATCTTATAATTATTATCAATTTTTAGAGACTTTTTTGAATGAAAAGCTACAAAGTAGAGCATGTCATTTACTCCCATTTATAACAACATCACATCTAATGCATCTATTTCCATTAAAAAATGTATTAAAAAAATAAAAAAAAAAATACAATATTGATATTGCTATGAAAGTTGTTTTTAAAGCTTCAAATGCTAATTTAGCTACTTTATTCTACTTAAGTTTTTTATTACAAGTCAAACATAGAACTGAAATTTGAAAAAAAAAATTAAATAGTAAGATGATAGTGATTAAAAAATAAAAATTTATATTTTATTACTTTTATTTTCTCATTAAAAACTTCTAAGCTATAATAGTTTAAATTTTTTAAAGATCTATTATAAGACCATTATTTGAAATGATATATTGTAAAAAACACTTAATTTATATGAAATATGTACTTTTTTATCGTAGCATATAATCTTACATCTCTTAATTTTTGTAATACACCAAAAATATGAATTTTATATTTTTTTAAAATTTTTAAGCAAATTAAGTTGATTTCTAAATAAAAAATTAAAAAATCATCTATAAATTATTTAAAAATATCATGTATTAAATATTAAAATGTAACTAGTATATTTGTAAGTCTAAAAGGCATGAAATTATATTCAAAATGTTCATACTTGGTTTAAAACATAGTCTTCCATTTATTTTTTATATTAATATTAACAAGGTTTTATGTTCTTTGTAGATTTATTTTTTTATAAGTCTTTGTTTAATTTTACTGATTAAAAAGTCTTAATATCAAAGATAAACAATATCTATTATTAATATTAATCTTTTTGGATCATTAATAATTCACATATTTATAGTATTTTTTATTTTTCTTTATTTATTTATTTTATTCATAAATAAGATACAAGTTTTTGTTGGAATGTGAAAGTAAAAATCACCTTTTAATTCAAATTACAAAATGGCTTTAATTAAGAATTGTTTTTCATTAGTGGTATAAAGTCAAAGAAGAAAATAATAAGAAGAAAAGAATAATAAGTACAAATAATAAGTGCAAATAATCAGTACAAGTGAAATAAGTGCAACTAAGCAATTACACACTACAAAATTATTTAAAATTTGTATTACATTTTTATTCTATAAAAAAATAAAATTATTTTTAATTAATTAATTTTTTAATCTTTCTAAAAGTATAAAAATATAAATTAAATTTATTATGAATAAATTATAATAGTTTAAAGATAAAATATAAATTATGAAAAAATTAAATGAATAAATTTTACTTCAAAAGTAAGATGTTTAATAAATCAAGAGTTTGAGCTTCATTTAGGTTCACAAGTAATATATAAAGGTGTCTTAGAGAAGCCACAATGCCTTAGTCTTATCCTCCTATCTACATCTAAAGTGCTTTAACTATTATGAGACTTATTCACATCCCTTTCTTACAAAGACTATATTAGTTATTGATTCTCCTATTTTTGGCTAGAGTAATTATTAATTTTTTATTTTTGACTTCACCATGATATTCAAATATACCAAATTTATGAATTCTTAAATAATCTTCAAATCTCGTTCTATTTCTTCATAATGGCTTCTCAATGTGATAAAATTTATTTTTATGTAAGTTTAGAAAATAATTTTAAAATTTTATTATTTTTTAAAAATAAATTCTAAATAAAATTTAAAAATATCTATAATATTTTTGTATTTCTAATATCAAATTATAACTATTTTTCCAAGTTTAGTAATTTTTTATAGAAATAAAATTAATTGAAATAAACTAAAAATCTTATCTCTTTTGTAAATAACCAAAAAATATGAGATTCTTTTTTATGCATCTTTTAACTACTAATTAATATTTATAGGTATTTTATAAATAATATGTAGATATGAGGCCAATATAGACATTGGTTTTTTTAATTAAACATTAATAGTTAATAGTAAGCTAAAATACTAAAAAAACTAAGATAATTGCTTCTAATACTTATTAAGACTCTATTCTTATATATATATATATATATATATATATATATATTCTAATGAAACTCTTATAGCTTACAAATCTATTTGAATTCTAATAAATACATAAATAGTAAGAAAGAAAAAAATCTCTATTCTTAATATTTTGTATTTAAATAACTTAAAACTATACTTTGAACAATTCCACCAATTAAGATCCACTGATTATATCCACATTTGGATTCTTTTTACATGATACACTTTTTCTTTTCTTTTTTTGGTAACAAAAACCTAAAATTTATCCTCATTTACTTTGAAAAATTTAGTGTGAGTCAGATTTGATTTTAAAGATCAAATTTACAAAAGAATAAAAACAAAGCACATCATTCATTCACACCAGTCATCGCACCATCCGTCCAACTCACATCCGTTCATCCGACTCTCCTCCCACAAACTTATCATCGGCAACCACGAAAGTATCATTTATCATCTCCATTAGGATGACACCCATATCTATCCATTCATACACAATTCGATCGCGTCGTTGATCCATCCATGACGTGGTATTTCCATGCGCCAAAGAACTGAAGAGCAAGCACCGGATATTATACCCCGAGACGAAGGCAAGGTAGGGTCCGGAAGACGGTGGGTCTTGGGAATCGAAAGGAAACGGAGGCTGGCTCCAGGCGGAGACTGAGACCAAGACCAAGGCCAGAAGTGAGGAACATCAGCGCAGTGGGGCATGTTGCCCAGACTTACTTCTCTGTGTCTGCCTGTCTTTGCCTTTCCACACGAATTAGGGTTTGTTGCGTGCTTTTTCCCACCCCTCCTGCCTCGTATCGCCATAGTTGCTCCCTTCTCTCGCTCTTCCTTCTCTTTGGTGTCTGCGTCGGTTGTCGCGGTGGTGTCGTCGTTGCGCTGCGTCCTCTTCCTGGGCTGTTTTGACCCTGGATTGAGTCTGCTTGGGATAATGTCAGCAGATTCTGGCTGGTGCAGTTGAGGACAGTGTCGGGTCGTGAGGTTGTGTCGGATTGGTGACGCGTTGAGCGGACGGCTGGAAGAGAGTGCTGATAGCGGGGGAGAGTTTGAGGTATCGTATTCCCCGTGGCGGTGCGCTCTCCCCCCGGAACTTGCTAGAATTTGGCGCGGAGCAGTGGGTGTGAGGCTCTGGGCTTTGGTTGCGCTTCTGGGTCTTTCAATTGATGAATTCGGCGTCTTGGAACGGTATATATCAATGCTTGTACACAGACACAGATAGATAGATAGATAGATAGATAGATAGATAGATAGGGAATGTTTAGTTTGTCTAGAATGAACGACTTTGGGTTTTTGATACCAGGCGGCTTGAAATTGGGTCAAGCCGCTGGGCTGAACTGGAAAGGATGGGTGCATCGTACTGTGCTGAAGAGAGTGCTCAGTGTTTTTTTTTTTTTTTTTTTTTTTTTTTTGAGGAGAATCTCAGACTCATCTATCGGCAATCTGTGTTTTCGGTATTCTTTAGCTGAGCGTAGGTCTGTAGAGAAGTGCTTTGAGATACGCAGTGAAACGCAAGTGTGCTTGTCTGCGAAGAAATTAGAGGACTTGTATGCGCTTATTTTGCACAAGGTCGATCGATAAGGGTTGAATCTGCAGGATTGAACTGTTTGCGGGCTTATAGTCATTGCTCAACCCTTACGATATGGGCAGATATATTTAAGGTTGTTGATTGGGGTATAAATCATTTCACGATCGAATTGTGCGACAAAAGAAACATCAATTGTTAACTTGTGCATTACTTACTTGGCTTCAATGCAACATTGAATGTCTCAAGAAGGTGTAACGCTTTTAGTAGATCGTGGGCTGTTTACTGATGGTTGAGTATAGAGTGTATTTCTCGGCACTTAATATTGCAGTGTGGATTATTATTAGTATCTCTTAACTTCCTCATCAGTACGATTGGTCCACATCTTTTAGTATAATTTTAGGGTTTGTAGCTGAGTGGTTTGTACTCTGTCTAATTTATCGGAGCTGCTGCTACTGCTTTTATTCTTCTTTTTTGCCTTTCCGTTGGGTAGTAGATGTCTCTATGCATTCGTTCTAAAGTTTTAATCTTTACTTTGCATGAATCGCCCTCTCAGGTTCCAATGTCGAAGTTCTATACCGAAGAGCGGTGACCTGCATGTGGCACAATTTGCCTTGAGAAACTCGTGGTGGTCCTTTTCGGTGAGAGGCGCGTAGCCTCAGCAACTATACGTTGATGTAGCCCCGCTTCTTCTTTCTTCAGTTTGTTAGATTCACATAATTTTGAGCCTCCGTGCTTGCATGATTCTAAGAGGTACATAAAAGGCATGTTCATGTCTTCCTCGAGTTCCTACTCTAATCGAGTTAGAACTTTGATAGTGTAAGTGTAAGTCTTATATTAGCACCATTTGGGAAAGAAGAATCATTTTTTTCTTGGTGCCCAGTTTCTTTCTGGTTTTTCGATTTGATAACACAGAGAAGGTAGTATAACCTCTTCATATTTTCTTCTCGCACGTTATCATTATTATTTTTTTGATCATTATAGTTAGCTGTCGTATTGTTGGTCTCTGCTCTTTAACATTCTCGAGGGTGCGAGAAAATGTAGACGAATGAAGTGGCTTCTGGGGACCATGTGAGCCTAAAGAGCTTCTTTTCGGCCAATTGTGACCAGCAACATCAGAGTCATCTGTGTGGTATGACCACATTGGAGAAATGCTATTGGACATGAAATCTACAGCCCATCAGTAACTGTTGAGGATATGATCAACCTAGTATTATTCTTCAACCAGAACTTGGTGACTGTCCTTCTGTGTGGAGGTCTTTCCTGCTTCAGCTCTCACAAAGTGTTACTCAGTTTGATTTCCCCACATACCCGAAGAGGGCTGAGAAGTGCAAGTATTTCTCGTTAGGTTACTCTGCTATGGCAGGGTTACTAGGTGGCGCAGATGCAACTGCACAATTGGCATTAGCAGGCGCTAGCACTGGGAGTGGAAAGCTCGAGGAACCTGATCATTCAAGTGCAAACTGGTACTTCACTAGAGACGAGATTGAGAATCAATCGCCCTCAAGGTTGGATGGAATCGACATAAAGAAAGAGACTTACTTTCGGAAATCGTACTGCACTTTTTTACAAGATTTGGGCATGCGATTAAAAGTGTAAGACCCAGACTTGGTGCCAGTCTGTCCTCATTTATTTTAGTCAGCAATCAAATTATGGTTAGTTTTCATTTTGACTCTGTTACTCTCTGTTTTGGATCGATAAGGTCCGTTAAAAAGACACCAGATAAATTTCATTGTTGTTTTTACTTTGGTTGGTAATAATTCACATCTGAACCCCCGAATCCGATTTTTAAACGATGATGCAGGCCTCAAGTGACCATTGCAACTGCCATCGTATTCTGCCATCGATTTTTCCACCGTCAGTCACATAAAAAGAACGACAGACACGTGAGTTTTTCTCCTACCTCAGTCTAGGCCATTTTTCTAGTTGGGGATTGGAAGTATTATGATTTGAATCTATTTTGCAGGGAGCCTTTCTGCAGTTGTGTGAACAACGGTGTGGTGTGTGGTAGCAGATGGTAGCAACCGTATGCATGTTTTTGGCTGGGAAAGTGGAGGAGACACCTCGTCCTCTTCGAGAAGTTATCATGTTCTCTTATGAAATTCGGTTCAAAAAAGATCCTGTAGCTGTTCAGAAGATTAGACAAAAGGTAGTGTTTTTTTAGCTTGTTGATTCTTTCCTGAGTTGTTTCAATGATAAAATTTCAGATTCTTATCTCTTTCTGGGACTTGTGTGGTTTGGGCCTTCTTTTTAGGAGTTTCAAATTATTGTTGTCGTGTCTCTAACATGCATGGTTTATCCTGCTGGTCAGACTTTATCTTAAATGGTTTGTACAAAATGTAAGGTTATTTAATGTGCTTTTCTAAATAGCGTAAAGCTATTTCAATTTATTTTTGAAGCGACTATGACACTTTTTGATATTGAGTCTCCATTATTATTTGTTAGGATGTTTACGAAGAGCAAAAAGAGCTGGTGCTAGGAGGGGAGCGGTTATTGTTGACCACTTTGGGCTTTGATTTGAATGTACACCATCCGTACAAACCGCTGGTAGCAGCTATCAAGAAGTTCAAAGTTGCACAGAACACCCTGGCGCAAGTCGCTTGGAACTTTGTAAATGACGGGTGAGTACGATCGAAATTATTAAAACTCATATATATGTAATGCTTACGTCAGTTTCAGCTGATTTGTGAATGTTGCGCCTTTTTCGGGAACTCCTGTCCGACGCAGTCAGGCATACTCCTCGAACTTCTGGGCTTGAGGATTGCTTGATGAAGATCCATATTATCTTCTGTGGATACTTTCTCCTTGCAATTTTTCTTTCCTTTGTGTATAGACACCTGTATCTCCTCATTTTCTCCCGCTCATCTGTGCTCTCTGCATAAATACGTTTGTAATAAATACGTTTGCATGTTTCCAAAGCAAGCAATCCTCAAGCAAGAAGTTCCAAGTGATTCCGGATGACTTCCTTCAGGTTGCTTGGAATTGCGTGAATGATGGGTAAGTAGGCCCGGTATTTTGGGATTTGGGTCTTCTTATTGCTGCTGCAAATAAACGTCGCTTGAAATGGTAATCTGGTGTTTTATTAATCCCATCAAGGTCTTCCTCTCCTCTAATCCATCTATCAACCAGTGAGATTGTCCGGTCAACACATAGCTGCTATTCTGCTTACACAGTCATATTGTTCTCCATAGAGATTTGCCAGGTAAGCCTATTTTTCAGAAGAACATGTGTAATGTACATGTCTGTTGCAAGTGAATGGCTGAGGCAAGGGGAGGGTTGTGCAGCCTTCGCACCTCGCTATGTCTGCAATTTAAACCTCATCATATTGCTGCGGGAGCTATCTTCTTGGCTGCCAAGTTCCTTAAAGTGAACCTCCCCAAAGATGGAGATAAAGTGTGGTGGCAGCAGTTTGACGTCACTCCTAGACAATTGGAAGGTGAATCTCACGTTCTCATACTTTTCGTTTAATCAGAAAGCTGCATTATCTGCATTATAGTATATGCAATCATCAAAATACTTCACTGATAATTCGTTTGTTTTGCAGAAGTAAGCAATCAAATGTTGGAGCTGTACGAGCAGAACAAAACCAATGGTCCAACGGGTTCGCTTGCCAATGATCCAAGTCCCAGCGAATTGAACCGGGGTCAAAGCCAATCTGAAGCTCCTTCTATGAATGGGCATCATCATCAGCACCAAAGTCATTCAGCAAAGCCAGAATTGGTTGAATCAAAAGTGGATGAAGCATTCAGCCAGCGCGATGACGAATATGCTGGCGGCAGAATGCAGTCGTCTTCACCATTGTACACGCCTAATGTGGTGAGAACCTACAGTGACACCCCTTCTGATCGACAGGCGGATGCAAGGCACAGTGGTGTTCCTGAGACATCTGGAGCACAGATGTTGAACGAAAGAGTAAAGCAGGAGACAGTTGTTAAAAAAGTTGGGCGCTCAAATGGCGAGAAAGTGGAGCATTATCATGAATATCGCGAGTTGAAGACGATTGGTAGTCGAGGTGATCGCAATGACGATGGTGGATCAGGTACTCGGGAGCGACGTAGAGAAACTGAGGAGTGGATTGTCAAGGAGAAGCCCAAGGAGAAGGCATCATCAGTGGTAAAGCCTGAGATGGTGGAGGCCAAGACAAAGCCAGCTGAAGAAAAAGACGTCAAGAAAGAGTTTGTTAGTTTGGATGAAGTGAACAAAGACAAGATTAAAGCAGCGTTGGAGAAAAGAAGAAAATCACGCGTAGTATCAGAATTTAAACCTCAAGGTGTTAAGCATGAGCCTACCAACGAAGAAGAGTTATTAGAACGGGAGCTTGAGAGCGGTGTGGATGCAGCAGCGGAGGCCGAGAAATCTGTTAAAGAGAGAAGGGATAGAAAATTTTCAAGGGGTGAACATGACCTTTTAGTTAGTAAAGACTATCAGTCAGGGGCCAAAAATTCAAGGGTAAAAGAGGAGGGAGACATTAAGAATAGGATTGAGCATGATGTGACGGATTTGAAGAAACGAGTTGCGGACGCTGATCTTGCTCCTCCGAATGGGAAGAAAACTGTGAAGGAACCTGAAAGGAAGCAGGTACATTCCTTAATCCTGCAATTAGTGTGTGTAGCGTCAGTACAGATACAGTTTGTGTTCTCTTCCGTTGTTTCTACCATGCAGGTTTTAGAATGAGAAATTTGTTATAACAGTTTGCCTTGGCATTTTCTCTAGTTTCTTATTCGATATTGGCTTTAACTTTTGAAATATGAAATTATACTCTCTCACAGGCTCTGGTAGAGAAAAATCCCCTTATGCAATCCTTCCCAGGCCTTAATGGATTTCACTGAGTTTTTTTTTTTTTTTTTTTTTTTTTTTTTTTTTTTTTTTTTTTTTTTCCTGAAAATCTGCCTTCTTATTAGACCACACTGAAAGTCACAGACTTTATGAGGCACTGCATAATGTTTTTTCAAAAATGTATTCTTGGTCTTAGGGGAAACCACTTGAAAGTGGTGACCACGCCGATGTAGAAAGGGACAACAGGTTGCAAAGGGAACGTACTCCAGAGAGGGTAGAAGAAGGTGAAGTACCGAGCACAAGCGGCAGTATAAGGTCTCCACCACGATCAGCTGATAAGAGGTCCTTTCCTGATCGTAGCGTGAGTCCTGGAAGCCAGAAGCGACACTATGGAAGCCGAGATCAGTATGGGAATCGGAAAGAAGGCTACAAGGACGCGCGACATTCTTCTTACAACCGGGAGCATTACAGAGATCACCATTCTTCACACCATAGGTACCTACTTCATTTTATGGTGCTGGATGCCACATGATGTTTTTCCGCGGATCTTTGTTCTTTAGGGGTACTTCTCTTATATATCGTGAGGGTAAATAGTGATTGTATCTACATCTCATTCTAAAGTTTTCAGATGTTCTGATTTTTCTTTATTTTTTACTTTCTTCTTCTCTCCTTTTTCTGGGTTTTTTTTTTTGTATTGTTCTGATGGCAGGATACGTTCTTGTGAACTAATAATTTACCACTCTGGCAGGTACGACCAGCATCGTTCAGATGGTGACAGGGATCGCCATCGAGGTGATCACAAAGAGAGGGACTGGTCTGACCGTGATCACAAGAAGGCTCGTCACGACTGATCAATTTACTTGCTATTTGGGCGTTGGTAATCTGGTTTTTCAGGAAAAACGTCCACACATGTTTTCTTGGGCTGCTTAGATTGAAGCCTCTTAATGACTCAGCCGAGTGTCAGTGCTTCTCCAAAGACAGGAGAGTTTCTGCACTGGATTGCTGTATTACTGAGTATTTCGTCTCCACACGTGATTCCATTTATCCTGTCAGTGGATGCTGCAGCTTCCTTAAATTGGTTGTATGCAAGATAAGCCATCAGTTATATTTATCATGTGTGAACAAGGCAAGGTAGGAAAGAGAAAATGTTCTTTAATAGATGCCTAGAGAGTTTGGTCCTTTTAGAGATTATAGAGTGCATGTCAGTTAGTGGAGGTTTCTGTGGAGTTGTATTTGTCCTTACAAGAGCAAAGCTCTTTTTTTCTGGTATATTTTCATGACTCATTACTTGTGTTGCCACACACAGTACGGTTTTCAAACTTGCATTGTGACAGAAACCATCTGCTAATGCATAGTTCTCAAGTTTTGAGGCATATTTTTGCCACTAGCTCCCAAGGTGACTCCCATGTTGTGATCTGTTTCAGTGACTAGAAAGTTAGAGATGTGCTGAAAGTTATAATGCTCAAAGTATGAGTTAATCGCAAATAACCAGTAATTGAATTTCTCCAGAATGTCGCAGATTGTAACTTCAATAGGAAAGGTGATACTTTTCTAATGCAGCAGAAATATTGAAGCGCACAGTTCCATTTTCTTTTCTGTAACAAATATCTAGAAGTGTTTGTATATACATTCAACACATCATGATACATATCTTAAAACATGTTGCGACATTAGATGTGTATGATGAGCTGCATGTGAGTTTTCATGCACTTAAGTTTGTAAAGATGTTTAGACAAATAAGGATGAATGATAGTTGAAACCCAGTGTTAGATGTGTACTTGAACTCGAGCAATTTACGTTTAAAACTTCAAAACTATAATTTTTAAGATGTTATATTTGAAGTGCATTTCTTGTTCTGAAACTACTGGGTAATTTTTAGGGATTAGTTTGCAAATGATGATGGTTTGATGCACGTAACCACCAAACCCCGGCAATAGCTTGCCACATCGCCAAAACCATGACATGGCGACCTCCACGGTGGCATCGGATTCGCCCAAGTGGACTGCCGTCGTCACATCGAAATCCTAGTCAGCTAGAGAAGGTCACAGTTGGTCGGAAAAAGGCAAAAGACCAAAAAGTTAAAGTGGGGAAAACGACTTTCAAAGGATTTTAGAAATTTGAAATGGGACGAGGCGAAACTAGGAGCAGTAAGTAGTGTATGAATGGGAACAGAGCACTGGTTAGGGCTTGCGACCTTTCATCAGCTTCGTGCTCTTCCGTAGGCCCTCGCCATCGCTCTTTGCGTTTCGTCCTGTTCTCCCTCTCCATCGGGAGTTTCTGTTTCCATTCCAGGAGACACTGACGATATTCTCCTCTCCTTTCCGCTTCTTTTGAACCCCCCGCGCTCGGTTTGGCCGCGTTTTGTGTCAGTTTGGTGGGTCTGAGGTTGAGGTTTTAGCACGGTGGGGGTGTGGTGGTTGGAGATCGGATTGGCTGAGATCAGATTCTGGAATGGAACGCGCTGTTCGAGGTTTGGGAGGTCGTCGTGGTAGCGTTGGTGATTCGGTGGTATGTTTAAAAACCATCTATTTATATTTATATTTATATCTAGTTTTTTTAATTTTTTAATTTTTTTGTGTGTTTTTTCTGCGTTCTTCTCTCTTGGGTGTTTGTAATTCAGGGAAGTGTTCTGCTCTTCTTTGGAATCAAGAAGTTAGGAAGGAGGTTTGTAGTCGTGAACGTCGGTTTGTTTTGTTTTTGTTTTATTTCGCTTGGCTTGGTGCAGAGCGATTTTTTGCGGGTATGGCTGGACTTGGTTGCCTTGAATCCCTTGAGATACGGTTAAATTTTTAGATGAAGCGATGTTTGAGGTGTTTTGTTTGTTTTTAGCGAGTCCGCGCGATGAGAGTCAAGTGAATATGGATGTTATATTTTTATGAAAGTTTCCGAAATGGTATTCCCAATGCTTAGGGTTGCGATGCCGTACCAGTAGAGAGAGCGTGGTTAGGTCTTTGGGGCTTAGATGGTGGAATTGTGAGGATGAGGATAGTGTCTTTTGCTGTTTTATTTTCATTTCTCAATTATTTGGATAAACGAGTGAATTCTACAAGAAGGGTTGCAGACGTTATTTTTCGTGATCGTGGAGCGATTTCTTTACTATCCTTGTATGGCATTTTAGAGTTAGTAACTGTTTTGCCCAACTTTGCTTAGCATGTCGAGCCTCTTCTATTTTCTTTTGTCATTTTTGTTGGTATTGTGTCAACAGCTGTAAAGAGATCTCGGCCATTATATTTATCTTGTTATTTTTCAGGTCCCAGTGCCATAGTTGCGGCTGAGAAGTTTCAATCATCAAGTGTCATAGTGAGTTCTAAAACTTAATCGGAATCCTGTTGAGAGCATGCAAAGGCCTCTGTCGATCTTTTTATCAGGAACAGGAGGTTATTCTATCTTGCCGCGGCTTTATCAAAATTTTGTCAAGGAGAAGTTTATGTTGTTGAAGGAAAACGAGTAAAGGCTTGCATACTGCTTCTCTGTGCCATGGCGTGTTCACTGTCAGACATGTCAGCTCAGTCAGCGTTGGTAGGCGCGACATTCAGTGTGAACGGCAGACTCGAGGAGCCTGATTATTCAAGTGTCAATTGATATTTCAGATGGGAAGAGATTGAGAAGTTTTCGCCTTCCCGATTGGATGGAGTTGATCTCAAGAAGGAGACATACTTTCGGAAAAAATATTATATATTTTTGCAAGATCTTGGCATGCGGTTGAAAGTGTAAGACTTCGAATCTGGTGTCGCTTTATTTCAGTGGGGCATCCCTCTCCAATTGTTTTCTCTTCCGATGCCTTGTTATTTGAAGATAAACATGATATAAATAGATTCTATCGTCTTCAATGTCAGGCCGCAGTCTCCAGCGGGCACTATCATACTGTCTTTGATATTCCTATCCGTTTGCAATTGCGTTTTTAGGTCGGTACGTCCCTTCTTACTAAGGAGTCTCATTCTGTCACTGTTTAAATTGTGTCTCGGTGTATAATCACCTGTTAAGCTCCGTTCCTGCTCACTGCTTGACTTTCATTAGGCTTGATCTTAGTGTATTTTATTAATCCTCATGGAAACCGCAGTCCCCAAGTGACTATTGCAACTGCCATTGTATTCTGCCATCGGTTTTTCCATCGACAATCACATGCAAAAAATGACAGACTTGTGAGTATCTGCAAGCCCTGGATTCCTCCTTATTTAGGTCCAGGGAATTGTGATCCTAGGCATGTACTACAGCTTTGCGGATTTGTGAACAATTTGTAACTTTTATTTGTTCTTGTGCTCATGAGTATGTGTATTTTTACAGATTATAGCAACTGCATGTATGTTTTTGGCTGGAAAAGTAGAAGAGACACATCGTCCTATTCGAGAAGTTATCGTGTTCTCTTATCACATTCGGTTCAGGATAGATCCGTTAGCTAAGGAGCGAATCGAACAAAAGGTAATAGTGCTACTTGTCCATTACCTGTATTCAGATGTTTACTGGATGAATGACCAAAGAATAGCTTGGATTAATTTACTCTTTCGAATATATTGAATTGCAAATCATGTGGATGCAGTCTACATTGGGGACTACGCGTGAAGTAAGTGATATTCCTCTGTGCCACTTGCCAACATATATTGTTTCTTGTGTCCGTCAGGAAGTCATTGAGGAACAGAAGGAGTTGGTTTTGGCTGGGGAGCGTTTGGTTCTGACCACTTTGGGTTTTGACCTGAACATACATCATCCTTATAAACCCTTAGTAGCAGCTATCAAGAGGTTCAAGGCTCAGAAAACCCTTGCGCAGGTTGCTTGGAATTTTGTGAATGATAGGTAGGTGGGAGCATAAACTCTGCTTCCCTCTGGCCGTGCTGGTTTTCATCAATTTAAGGATTTTCTCCATCACGGAGCTGTTCTGTTAGATTCTATAGAAACAGATTTTGGATGGTTTGCATTGTCGTGTGTACTGAAAACACATCCTAGTCTTAGTTCGCTTATTTATTAATTCATCCTCGTGCTCGGTAATATTATTCGATCAACATCCGTTTTGTTTAAGTTAAAAAATTCAAAATTCAAAAAACAAAAAACTTTTCAGAGTTTGCCAGTGAACGAATATTTTGTAGAAAGTACTTCCCCTCTGTATAAGGAAAGGGCTGATGGGAGTGTAAATTATTGTGCAGTCTCCGCACATCACTTTGTCTACAATTTAAGCCTCATCATATTGCTGCGGGGGCTATCTTCCTGGCTGCTAAGTTTCTGAAGGTGAACTTGCCTGAGGAAGGTGACAAGGTGTGGTGGCAAGGGTTCGACGTCACACCCAGACAATTAGAAGGTTAACCTTTTGTTCCTATTATGTATGCAGATTGTGCATCGCTTACAGTGGTACTTTGTTGCGATCGTTTTCGCCCTTTTTCACACCATGTCTCATGCCACTTGTATTTCTTCCCAGTGGTTGTCCCTAATTTTGTTCTACTTTTGTTAGGCCTTCTCCTATTCGATCTAGAGTGGATCTTTTACTTTCCAATTGATGGTTGTCGAGTTGGATTCTCGCATGAAAATGTGTTGGCGTTCAGATCATTTACTTTTCTACCAAGCCAAGTTTGATTTTGGTTTTGATTTCGATTTCATTTCTTAAATCTTTTGCAGAAGTAAGCAATCAGATGTTGGAGCTTTACGAGCAGAACAGAACTAACGGCGCAACTGGGCCACTGGCTAACGAACTAAGCCCCAGTGAACTAGATCGAGGCCATGCTCCTGTAAGCTCCATCCAAGCACCATCTGCAAATGGAAATCGCCATCAACAAAGCGTTTCAGGAATATTTCAACCAGTGGAAACAAATGCGAATGAAGTTTCCAGCTGCGAGGTTGAAGATAATACTGTCGGCACGTTGCGGTCATCGTCAACTCCTAATCAATCCTCGAATGCTCGACGGAAGTGCACTCCCGAGCCACCTGGAGGACAAAACCTTAATGGGGATGAAGCAGGAGATAACTGTTAGTAATGGAATGGTTTGATCTAGTAGCGACAAACCTGAGTGTCGTGATTACAGAAAGGACGAGTTCAACGCTGCCAAAATCGGTAAAAGGGACGGAGAACCTGTTGCATGAGATTTGCAAAGAAAGTATGCTTTGGTTTGAACTGGGTAGAAACGGAAAGGTCAACATGGTCTAATCTGGTGCTGCGATGTAGAAACAATGGTATCAGAAACACGAGTTACAGCGGTGGAAAATGACATGAGGATTTATAAGTTTGAATATGTCACCAAGGAAGCTGAAGTGAGAAAGAAAATACGCGTCACATGTTCAGGGATAAAGGATTCAGGCGTCAAGCATGTGATCCCCAATGAAAATTTGTTGGGAGGAGGATATGTTGGCTAGGGACTTTGCTAACAAAGCTGGGAAAGTCGATGTATTAAGAAGGTACCATCGTGTCGGTTCTTTCGAATAATCAAGGGTTCCAAAAGATTTAGGAGAGGCCAACGTTGTCACTCATTAGTGTGATCAGGCTTGAAATGATTCGTGGGAATTATTTTTCTTGTTGACTTCCAAGAACTTTTTGAAGGAGGCTTAATTTTGTAGGCGCATTAGGGAACAGGTATATTTCGTTCTTCTAGATACCCTTCTGCTTTGGTTCTGTCAATTTGAATTTTGCTTGACCATGCTAAGAACCTGAATGATCAAACTACAACTAAATGACATGGAAGCAGTTTTCTTTCCATGGGCTGTTATCTCCAAGTAAGCATCATCTTGAACCTAAACAGCGAATGTTATTTAGTTTCATCAGTTTTGTCGCGGTATAGCTTCGTTCATAATTTTCGAGCTGCGGCGGATATTGGAATTGAATGATCCAAAATTTATTTAGGACTGGGCCATTTGTTCGAGGCTTTGTAATGTTCTTAGGTGTCAGTTTCACTGTCGAATGCATATTTTACAGAACACCTAGCTAGCTTGATTCTAAGATGCATATGTGCTTGCAGGGGAATCCACCTGAGTTCAGTGACTTCACCGATGTGAGAATGGGACGATTTAGTGGAATAGGGACGATTGTACCGAAAGTTTGGAGGATGTAGTGCTTACTACAAGCGGCAGCGTGAGATTTCCACCACAACCAACATATACGAGTTCATTACCTGATCATAGTCCAAGTCTGGATGCTCAGAACATTAGGAAGCCATGAATAGAACGGGATATGGAAAGAAGGAATAAGGCATTCCTCTCACAAGCGGGAGCACTTCAGAGATCAACATTCTTCATTCCACAGGTTTGCTCTATATGGCACTTGGTGTGAATGCGTGGCTTCTTTGATATGTTGATTATCTTGTTCACCCCAATACTCGTTCATTTGGCTGGGTTGTTGGGTTTGCATTTCTATATTAATTTCTGTTTATGTTGTGCTCTGTTCGTCAGGTGTGGTCAAATACCGTGTGGATGTTAGACCCAATGTTGCAGCAAGCTTCCTCAACGAAATTGCATGGACTCCAGGTTCTCGACTGTGCTCTGGTTGGGTACTTTCAATGGAGCTTTTTCACGAGGCAGTCGTCTTCAGCGGCAGGGAAATTGTTCTGGACTGTGTTTCATCGATTTCGTAACTAGAGCTAGTGCTCAGTTGGTGATCACTAGGCAAGGAACTCAGAAACTCCCAATTGAGGCTGTGAAAAGCAATGTTGCTTTTCACGACTAATACATGAAATTATATTTTACATTTCAAATATTTGATCTTTTTCATGGCCCAGTAATAAGTTACATTTCAATAAGTTACATTTCATTACAATAAGTTGTTTCGTAGTTTGTGAGGTATTAACATTTCTTAATAACATATTTTACTTTAAAATAGAATAAGTTTGAAAACAATATTCTTTTCTGTTGTGGCTAAAATATCAACCATGGCCAACAAACTTAGAGATACTATGAAAAATAAATAAATAAATAAATAAAAAAGATCTAAACATTACTTTGATATGGATTCGGATATGAATACATACTAAGTGAGGTATTATGTTTGAAAGACTTTACACACACATGTTTCAAGACTTTACACATACACACACATATACAACAATGCAAGTGCACCATTACACAAGAGAAGAAATAATGACAAAGTTCATTCAAGTATTACAAAATAAAATAAAATAAAATGTTGTAAATATATATAATTAATGTTTTGACATTATAGTCTGAAAATAAAATAAAAGAAGGATGGTCTTCTATTGGCTAGTCAACAGATATTATTTAAAGACGTTTTGTTTATTTTTTACTTTATTTTGTAATTATCACTTATCTGAATATTCTAGATCCTTCTCACAAAATTTGAAATTTCACAAGTTTGTTTGTTGTAATGTAAATATATAGAAAATTGTTAAATTGACCCAGGCATTTACTAAATTGACCCACCCATTCTAACCATCATCAAAACAATTCTTTAGTGTTGAATCTACATTGGTCAAAAACAAATAAAAAAATGGTTGGATCCTCAACCAATTCCCTACAATTCCCTACATGTATATACACACACATCTGAAAAACTAGATAAAAATCATTAAAGAATGATCATTTTTTTTCCAATATTTATTATCATGATTTTTACTTAGATTCTTTGATTAAGATTGTGGGGTATCATAATAACCTTTTTCTTTAAAATCATCAAAATGAACTTGTAACGTCTAAGTCATTGTAATGTCTGCATCAAATGACTTGAAGGTCATGGATTATTCACCTAAGTCAAAAACAATTTGGCTAGGGATATGAATGTCTTGTTTCGTGTGAAAAGAGGTGTTATGGCATTATCCAATAGGAGTTTTAGTCCTATCTAGCAAAAAAATCTTAAGGATATTTTTTTGGTGTTTGTTGAGACATAAATGAGCCCCTACAAAAATATCATTTGTAATATATTTTAAAACACAATTAAGGATTGGAAATTTCAACAAGTCGTGATTAACTGGGAATGACATTGCCTCACTTGGAAATGCACTATAAATTATATCGTCTTATCTTTTGATGTCCACAAATGAATCAACTCAATAAAATCCGTACTTGAGACATTGATTGACTTGATATCAATATGAGCATAGTGTGGGTTTGATTGCAATAAACTCATGTCAGAAAAAGCTTAAATGTGCATAGTTTAGTAGGTGGGTCTTACAGCTGACGTGATTAACATTCTAACAATTAAAGCAGTTGTGGGTTTAGTTAATAAATAATTTTATAACAGCAATTCTCTACCTTTCACTTTTCATTATCCAGATGACTATAATTCAAATAGCCAAGTTTTAATTTTAATTTTAATTTTAAATATTAAGATAAATATATTTAATGAAATATGTACATTCTATCCATTCATTTCCCACTTTAGAATCTTATGTTGTAGAAAAATTGAACATGATAAATAAAATATCCTTGATATAATCATTTTGCATTTCATTCTCAGAATTATTTTATTTGTATATTTATTTATCTTCACTTTTTTTGAAAGAATTATGCTTTTTAATATGTAGGAATCATGCTCATGGTTCATAAAAACTCCCATGATCACATAAGCATGATTATATATATATATATATATATCTAGAAATACATTCAATGGATTGAAAATTATGCAACCTATAATTCAACCTTCTAAAAAGTTCTACACATTCTATATAGTAACCCAATTTACAACAAGCCCACAAAAATGAAACATATTTGGTAAAAAACCAACATGTGAATGACAAATGTGATAAAAAGCAAAAATTCAAGGAAGGATCACACGAGGGGGGATGGATGGATGAATGGGTGTATATCGTTCATTCATTCATTCGTTGGACTGTTTATCCAGAATCTTCCAGTTGAACTCAGAAAACCCAGCGCAACACCCAGTTCCCTTGCTCCCTTTCCACGTCATCACCCTGACTTTACCTTTTTCTCCTTTTTCTTTTTCTTTCGTCTTTTTTCTTCTTCAGTAAGAATTCTTTTTCGTTAGATATTTCGGGAGGGAAACTTGGGATGGATCACACCATCCATGAGGGACAGCAATCTGGGGCCCATCTGATCATATCACATGGCAAAGCAAATTTCATGCCCTCCCCCGTCGCACTTCCACATTCCCTTCCCTTTGGGACTTTACCTCCAATCCCATCACTAGTGAATGAAAATATCATATCATATCCTGCATATATATATATATATATATATACATATATACACACATATATACACACACATATTATCCATTGTACACTATGGTCACTATCTAGGTAATAAATTCATTTCCTTGTGCACATTTAAATGGCAAGTTGGGTGGAAAGTTTATAATACTATGAAATCTTCAATAGTTAGATGAACACAGAGTAATGTTAACATGAAAAGAATTGTCATGTTAATTTTTTTGTTATATATATATATATACACACAAACACACACACACAAACTTACAGTGACTTACACACGTATATACTAACTTTGGTGCTGTGTTTGAGTGTAATGTTGTGTCAAACTAATCAAAATTGTGAAGTTAACAATAACTCTTGTGACCTGTTTAAGAAATTTTCAATGAATTCCATTCATTTGGATTGTTTTAAAGTTTTTGTATCCAGAGATAATGGTAACTAGAATATTCATATTTATTGATTTGTTCTAAAAATCAATTCAAGAAAACTGAATGTATTCTGAATTGATATTTTTACAGTCATTTCATGAAATTGCTGAACATAATAAAAATTGTAAAACATTACAAGAAATAAATGAACAATGTACACAAGATAGCATTTTGCCATAAATACTGTGACAAAGCTTTCAAGCCAAAATGTGTGAAAAAGAGGACAGAAAGTTTTAGGTCTTGTGAACACCACTTGTAAAAGTGAGCATGAGATTGGTTTGAGTTGGTCCCGAAAAGAGTGTAGAAAGTAAGAATTTTAATACATTTTGGAACAGTAAAAAATGGAGCCATTTTATTGTTCATATTAGATTTAATTAATTAATTAATTAATTTTGTAAAGTCTCAACAACAATGCAGTTTTGTGAAAATCTAAAGTATTTAACAACTAGAGACTTTCTAAAAGCATTTCATGTAAATCAAAACATGAAAAAAGAAAAAAATATATAAAGAAAACGTAGATAGAATCATGTTGTAATTATATAGTTGTACACATATTCTTCAAACTTTAAATCTACTCTCCTTGAGAATTTAGAAAAAAATAAAAATAAAAATAAAAATTGTCATCATATTCCTACTAACTAGTTAACTATATAAATATAAATATATATTTCTATATACACAAACATATTCATACACACATATCAATAGACAATCAACTTTGAAAAAGATAGACTCAATGCCTATATTTTGCACATTCTTATTTTGACATAAGAATAATTCTCCGACACAAAACTTCAAGTGCTAATGATTGGGTATTGCGTAGGAATGCCTTGGAAGTGCTTCAGCTATTGTTTTCATGGAGTATTTTAGTCTTTCGATATTAGTAACTGGTGATCCAAAGACTTCATTGGCAGCTCAACTATACACAAAATCAGAAACGACAATCTTAATCTTATTTAATAATACACACACACACACGCAAACAAACAAACAAATAAACAAACATAGAGCAACATGTAAATGTAGAATTCTACCAAGTTTGACCATCCTCACGAGGCTTGCGCTGACTGTAAAGCCAAGTGGGTGGAGTGACAAATGCCGTTTTTAATGTAATGGCACAAAGGAATATTCACATTCCATGCAGTGATCCATGGATCGATCTATTTTTTTGTGGCTTCGACACAAGACAGAGAATTTGCCATGGAAACACAAAAATCGCTGAAACATCTACACAAACATCAGCATAGACGCAGACTCTAAAACAGTGCGAGCAAGTTGCTTCCTCCGACTTCAGACTTGGTACTGGATAGATCGAAGCTCTCCTATGACGATCCATCGCAACACAAAACTCATGCAACGATTATAGTGCATCATCATCGGAGTGGATTCGTCATGGTCTCGTTGTGGCTTCACGACGCTCTCTCTCGCCCCCTCTCCCTCTCTCTTTCTCGGTCTCGCTCGCTCACTCACTCACTTACTCAGTCTGGTGATAAGGTTGCGGTGATTGCTTGCTATTCTGGTCATGCACTTTACCGGTTGCAGGTGAACCAGTTGGGGGAGGAAGGGAGTAGAACGAGAGCTGCGCTGAGTATTTCATGCCTGGCGCCACGGACTATTTCAGGCACTAGGGGGCATAATTCAAGGCGTCGCCTGTTGCAAAGGAGGCATGATGAGATGATGATGATGGACGGAGTTCCGGAAAGCTTGAGGAGCACTCCACCAGCATCATCCCAGCAGCGCACACCCCCACCCCTCCTCGTTTCGCCCCCTCCCAGTGGAACCAAAACCATTGCTGGAATCTTCACGACACAGAGATCATTCATACATGGCAGCAGCACATGATAACTCCCGCATCTAGAAAGGCCTCCTTTCCCTCCCTATCGGAGGTCTAGTAGTGCTTGAGTGGTGGTTCTGGATTCGCAAGCCTGTCTGCACCGTCAGACTGAGGTAGGGTGGTGACGTTTCGCCACGCAGCTCTGGTTTTCTGGGTAAAATAAGAATGAGGGATGGTGGTGGTGGTGGTTCAGGATTTGGATGTGGTCTTGCCACCCGAGACCGCGAGACCAGCGAGACCAGCGAGACCAGCGAGGTAGCAGCAGGAGCAGCGTCACAGGGATTGAGAGCAGGGCGTGGTAATCATTTGCGAACAGGAACAGTATTGCGGTC